AGGTCTGGAGACCAGAGGTCTGTTCTACAGGACAGAGGTCTGGAGACCGCAGAGGTCTGGAGACTGCAGAGGTCTGGGGACCGCAGAGGTCTGTTCTACAGGACAGCGGTCTGGAGACTACAGAGGTCTGTTCTACAGGACAGCGGTCTGGAGACAACAGAGGTCTGGAGACCAGAGGTCTGTCCTACAGGAAAGAGGTCTGGAGACTACAGAGGTCTGGAGACCACAGAGATCTGGAGACCACAGAGGTCTGGAGACCACAGAGGTCTGGAGACCAGAGGTCTGTCCTACAGGACAGCGGTCTGGAGACCACAGAGGTCTGGAGACCAGAGGTCTGTCCTACAGGACAGCGGTCTGGAGACCACAGAGGTCTGGAGACCAGAGGTCTGTTCTACAGGACAGAGGTCTCTGCATGATCTTTGTGATTCTTCTTTAGTATCTGTGATTTGTTTTGGGGTCACTGATCCCACCCATCAGAGTTCTGGCAGAGGGAAGAAGGTTCATGTCTAAGATTTTACGATGCAGGTCTCCAACTAAGACCTGTTCCCCCAACAAAAGTCCCAAACCATGATGTTTACATTTGTGTTCTTCAGTGTGTGGATGGTCTGCAGGTCATACTTAGTTCTTCTCTAACTCCAAAAAAGAGCTGGATTTTGGTCTCCTCTCTGAACCGTTATCTGATGAACTTCAGGAGGGTCTGTACACAGGTCTTCTTCAGCTGGAGGTGGATCTGTTCGTGGATCTCCTTCAGCTGGGGGACCTTCAGTCCATCACAGCATGGTGTGGTACCACTGGTGCTTTTGGTGACCGTAGTTCCTACTGTCTTCAGATAATGAAGTTCCTCCTGTGTGGCTGTGGCTTGACCTCTGACCTTTCTCATCCTCACCTCATGAGGCCAGGTCCTACTTGAAGCTCTGGAACAAAGGTCACTAAAGGTCAAGTTATGTTTATTTCCTCCATTTCTGATTACCGGCATCAACACTTGTAATCTTTCAAAGGTTCTGGCTGGTGGTCTGGAGTCCATTCAGATCTTGGACTATCTAGTCCCTGAAGTCCCGGCAGGTCTTTGGTCTGGCTGGGTTGTTGGGGGCCAGACGCTCGTTTCACTTAATAACATGCAAATAAATGTAGAATTTGAAGGAAGGTTTTTGTCTGTTTTTAGTTGATATTCTGTCTCGTCACAAAATTAAAGTTTATTTGTTTGTAAGTGACCCGCAGATCAGGTCAGTATTTCCTTCACTATAAGCATGTTACCTGTAACAGACAGGAAACATGCTACAACTAACTTTATAAACTGTGATATGGATCTAGTTTATTTGATTGTTTTCTGGGATGGCAGTAGTAGTAGGCTTCCAAAGATTAAATATACAGGAGTCCCTCATTT